GTTATACCGGTTAAGTCCAAAATCATGTCAAGTTCAATAGAGCATCTTAACATATTTAAATAGTTATTTTATCAGTCTGAGCATAGTATTTAGTAATTGTTTATATTATTTTCAGTTTGATCAGGATACAGCCATCAGCACTTACATAATTATTTTACCATGTTTGAGGTATATATTATCAGTATCTGCTCGGAATGGTCACCGGTCCATTCTGGGTTCTAGTGGCCTTAATCTTCCCACTAGAGTGTGCACATGGTGTCCGACATTAGCTTTTTGCTGGCAGATGTTCAGGTATCAGGCAGTTGATGATATTATCTCACCATCAGATCAGATCATGATTATTCAGTACCGGTTTCATGTTCATGTTCATGCCATGATCATGTTATTGTAATTATTTTCACTGTTTACTTTACTATGAGTTTCCACGGAGCACAGTGGACTATAGTGCTCACGACCCACTTTTATCATGTTTTCAGGTCATGAAGTCGGCCGGAGGAGTGAGGTGACGGAGCTGTTCGGGACTATGCTTATAAAGCTTAAATTATGTTTTGTACAGTTTGGATTTGGCATAGCAGTGCGGTTATTATTTTCAGATAACTTTTTTTTACGATCATGGTACTGCTATCCAATTTCACCACTACAGTTTCCGCTGACCTTTCACTGTTTGTCAAACTTATTCCATTTGATCAGTCAGCAAGCTGTTAGTTTGTTTTTCAAAAACAAAAGTTCAGACTTGTCAGTCAGTTATGTATTTTAGTAGCACTCCGAATCAGTATTTCGCAAAATTGAAAATTCAGTTTTGTAATTATTTGCGAAAAGCGCACTCTGATTTTCATTAGTCAGAAATGTTTGAAAACCTGATCACGTCACGCTCACGCCTCGCCGACTACCAGGTAAGTGCTGATTCATCTTTTAATTATAAACAATTTACTATTTCTATGCTCAGAAATACCTCAGTTACGATATAGTTAAGATGCTCGAATCATGTTCAGGATCAGTAGTCAGTATACTCGGGATTTTATGTCAGTATTTTCTAGTCATGATTAGCAACTCGTCAAGAAATTTGTGCGCTTTACTGATCAGTGTCCAAATGTTATCAGTAAGGATGTTCGAGTTAGAATTCAGAACTTTAGAAAGGGACTAAGTATGAGAACTCTAGATTCAATTCTAGATTTATTCAGGTCAAAGTTAATGCCTCGTTCAGTGATTTGTAAACATTTATGTTATACAAATCTTAGTACTCATGTTCCTCAAGACATTTTCTATTGAAAATTGTCCATTTTGCCAATTAGTTGGCACATTCCAAGGAAGAATTCCTTGAGTTAGATCAGGGAATAAGCTCAATTTTCCTAAGTCAGATCAGTAAATCAAGTTCAGGGCAAAAATTTTCATGTTAAAGGTTGTTAAAATTTTCAAGCCATTGTCATGGTAACGGTTTCCAGTGTATAAGAGTCAATATTCCGGGTTACCATGGAGGCTTGAAATAAGAGCCACTTAGCCAGGTATACCATGGAGGCTTAAAGGTGGGACCGGAGCAGTATGATTTCATGTAATAACAACCTTTCAAGTCAGTCATGTCATGTATCTTACCAATCATGATAGTTCAAGTTATGGTTTTCAAAGCTCAAGGTCAGTTATTTCCTTTGTACTTGTGGGACCAGTTGATACTGGAATAGCCCTATACAGTACATAGTCATGAGTCAATGTTCAAGATTTAAAGTTAATGTTCATGAGTTGAGGTCGACGTATAATAGTTGTTCAGTCGGGTTAAATATGGAGGTCTGCAATACTGACTATTAATCCAATTCTACCTGAAAACTTGAAGTCGCACCTTATCAAGTCAAGTAAATCAGTAAATGTCATGTTCCAAATTCTAAGGTGACTATCTAGTTGTCTCGGAATAGCTTTCAAAGTTCAGATAAAAGTGATTCAGTCATGTAAAAGTCAAGTCATGATTATTCAGATATATGAATATTCAGGCCAGTCATGTCAAGATCGAGGGTAGTCTGTCTAATAAGATAAGACTTATCAATCAATTCAAGTATAATCAGTGCCTCGATTCTCAAATTTTGAAAATTTGAGAAATCGTAGGAAAGATTAATTCATGATAGACTTTTCTTGAGGTTAAGTTTAACCTCAGGGAAGGTAAACAGTTGCAGGTACCACAGGTTGACATACGCCGCGACGGAGAAGAGCCAATCAATAGCAACAGACCATACCATGATGACAAACCGATGCTTTCCAGTCAGGGATGCATGATGCAAGAAAAGAAGGATGCCTTGCCTGAATCACAGTACACTGGGAAATCACAGAGAGTAGCATTATAATACCTTGAGGTTATTAGCTTGAGATACAGATATGATCAGTTATACAGATGATGATTACGCCGACGACGCAGGTGCAATGTTCACCAGGTGCTGTATGCAGGCGTGCCGCACTCACTTGATGAGGAGCAGGTATGTCGCATTACAATGTGCCGCGAACGATGTGCCGCGTTATCGAGCAGATGTTCACGAACGGTAATCACCGATATTGCTAGTTATCCTCATTCGTACATGTGCGTATCTCCGGAATTTTCCGTGTGTACCAACGACTGGAGTTTTTTCCATAACCAAAGTTCAGACCGAAGATCAGCAATCAGCCAGGAGATGATGACCAGTACGCTCAAGAATTGTGTTTTGAGATCATACGTAATCAGTGGAACACTTTATTTCAGGAAAGTGTCCATTCTCAGTCAGCAATATCTAACAATTCACTTAATTGTGAATTGATGTTTCTTCAGTTCAGATCAAGTTTATTATTCAGTATTAAAATACTGAATTTTCAAGTCATGTTAGCGGTAAGTATAAGCTTATGTTAAGCTTGTACGTTCAGTTTTAGTATTTCCGAGGACGGAAATATTTTAAGGAGGGTGGATTGTAACACCCCGAGTTTTATTAATAAAGGAAAATACTAGCTTTTAATTTTAAGCTAGCCTTTATTAATAAATAATCATGTTCATGTTCAAATTCAGGTTAACTAGCTAGTTATATTCCAAGTTCAACTATTGGTCGATATGTTATTCAGTTTGAGTATCCCAGTAACAGAATGAGTTTTCAGATTAATTCCGATTTGTTTCATTAATTAATGAGCTCGGAATTAATAGGTTAAGGTGACGAATTATTCGAAATAGCGGTATTCGGATTAATCGTCCACGTCATGGATATTCGAATGGATTTTCGAATGTCATGTTATGTTCTGAATAATTTTCCGACAATTAATTCAGTTAAAGTTCCTTATGTCAAGTTCGGTTTTCCTATACAGCGGTGCGTTCACATTGGTACACCATTCATCAGCAATTAAGTAATGGTCATTAACCTAACTTAATTAACTTAATCCATGTTTAGCTAATTAATCATGATTAGCTTAAAAATAATCATGATTAGCTTAACGTCAATGATGATTAATTAACATTAATGAGGATTAGTTTAAGGTTAATCATGTTTAAGGGTAATCGTGCTTAGCTTAACATCAAACATGCTTAATGAATACTTGATCAAGCTTAGTTTAGCTAAGTGCCGAGAGTTGCTCTTCTCTTCACGTGATATAGTATTGAGTACTTAGCATAGGTGGAGGCTTCATGTTCATTGAGGTGGTGACTAAGAAAGCACGAGTACACCTAAGGCCTTAGTTAGCTAGCAAGTGTTGCAACATGATTGGCCAAAGCAATTTTCATCCCTTTTTGCTATTATGTACGACCATTTATATAAGGTAAGGGAGAATACTTTACTTTGCACCTATTCTCGTTTCCAGCAAGTCAAGATATAGATTAATTTATAATTAGCACATATTAAGTGAGATTACGGGAGATTGAGACAAGCAAAGCACATGCACACGGCCGATGCTTACGCACGCATTTGAAGCCGAGGAAATCACACACAACTTGTGAAATTCTCCAATCACTTGAGGAGGTAACCTCATCCTCAACCTCCTTTCATGTTAAAAAGATCATATTAAGTTAGAATTATTCAGTTAATGTCAAGAAATTTATGGGAATGCCATGATGGGTTCGGTTTAGGCCATATTGGGCCGTGACCGAGTAACGTTCGTTTTTACCCGACAACTCCTGAGCAGTTCATGTATATTTAATCATATTATGTCATTATATGTTCAGTATAGAAAGATAGGTCAAGATAAGTTGATGTTTTGTTCATGTTTTGGCCTAAGGAAGTCGACAACGCACATAGCGCACGCCCACGGGCCGTCTTATATCTCACCATGTTATCTTTCATTGTAATCAGATTTGATCGAGTAACTCATGTTTAACAGGCTAGCTGAGATCATTTATAGTCATTTAAGTCAAGTTAATCGGAGGAAGTTCATGTTTACTCCAGGGTTTGGCTTAACGCCGAACATGGGCACACGGTGCGCACGCCTCGAAGTTATTCGAGTTCATCGATTGAAATTCATGATTTTTTTAGATGAATTCAGTTTATGGGATCATATTATGATATATTATGTTGAATCATGTTGATGTTGTCGGTGGAAGTCGTCGGACGGCCGACGAGGGTCGGCCGTACTTGCGCTGTCCGCACGTCGCGGCCGCAGCGTACCGGCAAGTGTGCATGGTGTGAGTGGTGCGCGGTATAGCTGCCGCGTGTGGCCAGTACCGCAGCAAGTAGTTGTTGGCAGTGAGTATATGCACGCCAACGTTCAGTTATGCACGTTAGCATGCGGTAACGCATGCTAGAGTGCACAGTCGCACGTCAGTGGTCTCGGCAGCGCCCAACGGGCCGCACGAGTAGCCAGTGCCGTGGGTGTCGCTCAGTAGCGCTCTTGCAGTGCCAGACATGTCCAGCCAGCGCCTGTGAGCGCACTCACGAGTTAAGCAGCACGTCGCGGTGTGCGGTAACACCCGACCGTGCCCAGTCACGCGGCAGCCGACGCACGTAGCGTTCGGCAATGCCCAAGTCACGTCCCGATGAGCCTAATTCATGTCAGCCATGGCCAGGTGCACGCAGCACCCTTGACCGTGACCAAGGCAGGCCCTGAAGTGACCGTGCCCGCACCCAGTCCCGTCAGCAGCCGTAGCACAGCCGCAGCAAGGCCGTGGGCCGAGTTAGCCGCCGATCGGTCGGCCTCAGCAGACCGGCGGTCTGGCCAAACCGGTTCAGATCCGGTTTAGACCGGTTTAAACCATATTTTAATATTTAAATCCCGGTTCATGTTTTAAGTTCCAATTTTAGTTAAATTCTGGGTCCGATCCAGTTCAATAAATTTATGTCAGTTCAGTTCCGAGTTTATTCAGTTCCGGTTATACCGGTTAAGTCCAAATATCATGTCAAGTTCAATAGAGCATCTTAACATATTTAAACAGTTATTTTATCAGTCTGAGCATAGTATTTAGTAATTGTTTATATTATTTTCAGTTTGATCAGGATACAGCCATCAGCACTTACATTTTCAGATCAACAATTCAGGTGGGGACTCAGACTGGGTATTACATTGATTATAATTATTCTACCATGTTTGAGGTATGTATTATCAGTATCTGCTCGGAATGGTCACCGGTCCATTCTGGGTTCTAGTGGCCTTAATCTGCCCACTAGAGTGTGCACATGGTGTCCGGCATTAGCTTTTTGCTGGCAGATGTTCAGTATCAGGCAGGTGATGATATTATCTCACCATCAGATCAGATCATGATTATTCAGTACCGGTTTCATGTTCATGTTCATGCCAGGATCATGTTATTGTAATTATTTTCACTGTTTACTTTAGTATGAGTTTCCATGGAGCACAGTGGACTTTAGTGCTCACGACCCACTTTTATCATGTTTTCAGGTCATGAAGTCGGGCCGGAGGAGTGAGGTGACGGAGCAGTTCGGGACTATGCTTATAAAGCTTAAATTATGTTTTGTACAGTTTGAATTTGGCATAGCAGTGTCGTTATTATTTTCAGATAACTTGTTTTTACGATCACGGTACTGCTATCCAATTTCACCACTACAGTTTCCGCTGACCTTTCACTGTTTGTCAAACTTATTCCATTTGATCAGTTAGCAAGCTGTTAGTTTGTTTTTCAAAAACAAAAGTTTAGACTTGTCAGTCAGTTATGTATATTAGTAGCACTCCGAATCAGTATTTCGCAATAATGAAAATTCAGTTTTGTAATTATTTGCGAAAAGCGCACTCTGATTTTCATGTCAAGGCGGGGTGTTACACCAATAGTTTCCTTTCAGCTTTTTTTTGCACAGATGAATTCATTCCATTTGATGGCATGAAAGACCATATCTTGTGGCTTTTTTCATCTTTTGCGTTATTGCTAAGGAGGCCAAATCATTTCTATTTAAGCACCCCCACTACACTCAACACAAACACACTCGTAGAACTATCAACACAAACACACGAGTTTTAAAAATAATTATAATTGAAAGATCTAAAATTGCAATGGCTCCCAGGTTTGGTGTAGTGTAGGCCGACTATTTGTAAGACCTACATTGGACCCCAAAACTGGATGAGTTTTTAATCGATTACTCGGTTGACGAGAAACATCTTGGTCTCTTTGTTCCTTTTGCAAGTAACACTAAGAGAATCGAGTCTGCTACAACGACCATCAATGGGTGGTTTCGCAAGAGTTTCACGTCCGAGTATATAAACCAACGCGTTGGAAATCTAGAAAAAAGATACCAAATTTTCTCTCAACTTAAACATAAAGATGGGGTTGAGTATGATGCGACTATGAACGTTTACCAGTATTTCAGTAATGTAAATTACGTGTTAATTCTGTAATATTCATGTCATGTTCAGAATACTTTCTAAGTATTTAATTTCATGTGTTTTTTCAGTTAATCCATGTCTAATCGCTCGATGAATATTTTACCGAGCTTAATCATGTCTAAGTATGCTTTAATTATCAAGTGTTATCAATAAATCATGTTCATAGTTCATTAACCAAACATAAGCATGGGTTCATGCATGACCAAGCATGCTTATGCACGGCATTAGCACGCACAAGCTTAGCTTAACACTAATTGTGCTTATTTAGCACATAACCTATGCTTAGCTTCTAAGTCATGGCCGAGAGTGTTGTCTCCCAACACACACGTGAAACATCATCATAGCTAAGGACATATGGAAGCTTGAGAGGCATTGAGACATATTGCGATTGGCCATGAAATTCCCATCAATTTTCACCATCGTTTAACTCATTATAAATCAGATGTGTGGTGAAAATTTGGATTATTACCTAAGCTATTCGTTTAGTAAATATTAAGTAAGATTAAGTCTTAAACACACGCACACGACAAACCAAACGCACGCACACGCACGGAGGTGAAGAATCATGCCTATTCTTGTGAATTCAGCCGAACACTTGAGGAGGTAACCTCATTCTCAAAATCTTTTCATGTTAATGAGTTCATATTGAGGTCGAGATGTTCAGCTCATATCCAAAAATTCATGAAAATGCCAAGTTGTGTTCGGTTTATGTCATGTTAGTCCATATCGAGTTAAGTTGATTTTTATCCAGTTACTCTCGAGCGTTTAATGTTTATTTAGTCATTATTCAGCATATTATGATCAATTAAGTCTTGGTTGTTGAGGAAATATCATGTTCGGTCGAGGAATTGGCTTAACGCTGATCATATGCGCACGGTGCGCGTACCTCGGCACTTTGTTAGTTCATCGAGCAAAGTTCGTAAATTTTGAGAAAAATCAGTATATATGATCATGTCATGTTATATTATGTTGAATCATGTTGATGTTGCTAGAGAAAACCGCCGGACGGCCGACGCGGGTCGGTTGTAATTGCACTGCCGCACGTAGCGGCCGCAGTGTACCGGCAACGACGCACGCAGTGCGGGTGATGTGCATGTATGCGGTGTAGACGTCGTGCATGATCACTAACCGCAGCAAGTAGCAGTCGGCAGTGCGTATGTACACGCCAACGCGTAGTCGTTCACGTCAACATCCAGTCGCGCACGCCAGCGTGCGGTAATGCACGCCAACGCGCATCAGTTGGCCTTGGCAGCGTCCAACAGCCTGCCCGAGTAGTCAGTACCGCGGGAGAAGCACGGCAGCGCCCGCGCGATACACTGTCATGTTCAGTCAGTGGCCGATTGTCCGGTCACGGCAGGCCGGTGATCCGGCCATTCAATAAACCAACCGATTTAGATCGGTTTGGGTTAGCTTTCATATTGAATGGCTCGATTTATGATCAAGTCAAATTTTTAGTCAAATTCCGAGTCCGGTAATATTTAGTAAAATTCATATCAGCCCGGTTTCAATATTTATTCGATTCCGGTTATACTGGTTAAGTCCAGACATCATATTAAGTCAAGTCGAGCATCTTAACAGTTAAATTTATTGAATCCGAGCATAGTACTTAGTAATTGTTTATATTATGTTACAGTTTGACCAGTTCAAGACATCAGCACTTCCAGTTTCATATCTTCAGTATAGGTGGGGACTCAGACTGGGTATTACATTGACTATAATTACGGTATCATGTTCAAGGTATGTCAATTATGGTTCCGCTTAGAATGGATGTTGGCTGGTTCAGGTTGCCATAATTCCATTCTGGGTTCTAGTGGCGTCATCTCCCACTAGTATGTGCACATTGATTCCGGCTGAGTTTATCATTATCATTATTATTATCATGTTATCATGGCAGCCGGTAGATTCACGGGTCCTGGTCCGGTTTATACTGTTGACTAGGAAATTCATGGTCATGTTACATGCTTATGGTCATGATGTTGCTATTATGGTTACTGTTTACTTTAGTATGAGTTCCTACGGAGTATAGTGGTACTCACAGCCCACTTTTATTATATTTTTCAGGTCACGGAGTCGGTCCGAAGCTGTGAGATTGACGGGTGGATCGAAGTTTTGATTGTACATATTATGGTTGCCACGCTATGTTCCGTTAATCAAACTGTTTGTTAAACTTATCCTTTTTGATCTGATTCTACAGTCGGATTGTATATTATGATAAATCTGTTTTCCTTTAAAAATTAAACAGCGGTAACAGATTTCAAAGTAATGTAAATGATTTTAGTAGCACTCCGAATCACGATTTTCAAATATTTTAATAAAAGATTTTATTAAATATGTACTCTGATAATTAAGATAAGGCGGGGTGTTACAGTTGGTATCAGAGCACGTTTTTGCGTCTCTGAATACTTTTACGAGTCAGTAATTTTTGAAAAACCCGATCACGTCAAGTTCATACTCCGCCAACTATCATGTAAGTGCTGATGAATGTTTTAATTATAAATAATTTACTATATCTATGCTCAGTTATGTTATGAAAATCACTGTTATGGACCAGTTAGGATGCTCGAATCATGTTCAGGATACTATTCATGTTTATGATTTAGTCACTGATTCCGAACTCAAATTAACGACTCCTTAAGAGATCTGTATGCCTTATCCTTCAGATGATATATTATGTCATGTCATATCTTAATCGTGTTAAATATTTTCACTATTCAGATGCCGCCTCGTAGAGAACCCGAGCAGCATGAGGTTCCCCAGGCTACAGTAGTCGCACAGTTTCGCGACTACCATCTGGAGAAATTCTTTGGCCAGGGAGATCCTCGTATCGTAGACGAATGGTTTCAGGGCCTTGAATTGATTTTCGAGGTCATGGACTGTCTAGATCGTTATCGCGTTATATGCGCACAGCTTCAGTTGACCGGTGATGCTCGACTCTGGTGGAATGCTTACTGGAGTATGCGTCCCGGCGAGAAGGAAGGTTGTACCTGGGATAGATTCAAGGAGATGATTCGTGAGAAGTACTTGTTGGTGTTATATACTTAAGCTTTGCTTTAGTGGATATTACACTTGT